GGTAAGCACACTAAAATTTCATTGTTACAGTATACACAGGACACACAGTTTGACCATCACTGACCTTCTAAGAGAGGGTGCAATATAAAGTATCTAAACAGCAAACCCCACATTTTAATCAAGATGTTACTGACTTTCAACATGTGATCAATCTAATCCAGCTTCTCTTCACAGGTTTTCATTGAGAAACCTACTTCAATATTTTGCTGTTCAGAATATATGGGAAAGGGGAGGAATGTTTCACTAACCAAGATTTTATCATTTGATTTGAAAATTACAGTATAATAAATGCAATATGAAAGTAAGTTTTTCAGTAATTCTCACTTTTCTGCTTTCTGTGTGTAGTATTCACCAGTTCATATGAAGAGCATCTCCCACACAACAAGTTCTTATAATCTTAAGGTGGAACACAAAAGAACTTTGTGTCAAAAGCTGAGAGAGTGAATGGCAAGGTCCTTCAGCCTCTGAGATGCTCAGCAACCAGAAAAGAGTGAAGAAAACTGGCCAACTCTAGCACAAATCAGATGTTGGTACTGAACTAAAATCAGTTTTCTTGACTGAAGGCTGGACAACACATAGTGACAGTGAGGAGAGAAAAGGAAAGGCATATTTCAAAGACAACCTCTACTGTCAGAAATCCAGAGGCTTCCTCCAGAGATGGGGGAATCTGGGAGAGCAAAGGTGGGTCGATGATGTATGAAAGAAAAAGGGTTTGGCAGGGGTTTCATTTCTATTCTCACGCAAGCCTAAGAATTTCTTTTTTTTTTTTTCCTTTCAAGGTGACTTTCTACAAATCATACACAAGATTCTCCCTCCCTGACTCAAGCATAAAAATATAGAGCCCCAATCAGACTTACATTCGTTGGAGGATATCAGGCTGCTTTGCCCCTCCAGGTGCAATAATATCAACATAACTAAACCATTCTTCCCAATCTGTTACCAACAAAAGGATTATTTACAGTTCAAGTCTTTGATTTTAACTTGTCTAGAACAATTTCCTTTCCATGTTCCATAAAGGTGAGAATAGAAGGCACATATAAGGTACAGGAAAGTGGGATGAAAAGCTCTCCAGAATGGACTTTGCCATACTAAATGTTGCCCTCCAGTCTGGTTTCTGGCAAATTGTTATAATGTAACCTGACTCTCAACTGTCCTGACCTGTGGCTATTGTCACATACTTTCCCAAATCATCCACAAGATGCTGAATGAACTCGTCATAACTTATTTCTGTTATGCAACCAAGTGGAGTACACAACTCTGTATCATGGACCGACGGCCCAGAATAACTCTGTGCAGAAATGACTCAGTATCCAGGGAAAACTTTCAAGCTTGCAAAAACATGACATTTTCCTAGAAAGCAACTGTTAAACTCTGACTAATGCATTCCCCTCTTTTCCTCTCCTGTTTTTTTTTTTAAGTCTATCCATACAGGTTTTGAAGCTCTGAATGCTCCTGGACACTGAAGACAATATGAGGTGAAGACTGTTTAAAAACACCTGAGCAAAGGAGAACTCAGGCTGGAGAATACTGTGTATGTGATATTTTGGGAACATTTTGGGGAAATGAAGAAATCCAGGGGCCTAGGGCCAGACATTTCCTTTTTGCCCAGGCAGTCCATGTTGCCAGGGCATCTATTAGGTGTCCTAGAAAGACTGAAGCTTGGCCATTAAGTGATCTCCTTGTGCAAGCACAGGCAGGCTGGATGAGCCATACTGCTGACCCATAAATGTAACTACTGAGGGGTTACATAAATGTAACCCTAAATGTATTAAGATGATGCTTTAGTAAAGGAAGTGTAAACCAGACAAGGCTTCCCCATCATCTTAACAATTGTGGTTGACTACCCAAAAGAGTGCAAATATATATCTTCATCCAGAACTTACCTCAAATTTGCTGCTAGGAAGGCAAGCATCAGTGAATGAGACAGAGAATGCTTAAATTTGTGAAAAAATTCTGATATCTGCTCCTTTTTCTTTGTTTCAGGCTACTTCACACTATTCCAGTCTCCCACATGAAACAGTCAGTCCCCACACTCCAGGTGCACATCATAGGAATATCACAGAATTTACATAAGAAACCTTGGTGCAAAGCTTAACATCAAAGAGAGCATGCTGTAGGATCACAGATCTTGTAATAACAAGGTCAGCAGACTGAGAGCTGAGGTACTCTACTCCAGTCTGTTAGCCATGGAGGGAACCTTGGGCTAATTCTTTTCCTCTCTTTATCTCAATGTATGTCTTCCTGACATGGTTAAACAGGACTATCATCACAGAGAGGCAGCAAGAACGACTGAGACTTGTTGTGTGCCTTGAAACGTTCAAAAAACCACCATGATCCTAGTCCTGACTACCAATACCCATCACGAGAAAATTACCACAAATTATTACACAAAGCCATAGAGTTGCTAAAGAGGATGTGTCTTGTAATTGATGAGCAGGAATTTTAACTCCCTGAGCTAGCAAGGGAAACTCTTTTCTCACTGACAAAGCCTCCAGCTATGTATGGATGCAGTGCTTTGTTTTCTCCAGAGCAATGGTGACATTTTAGATCAACTTTTGTGCTATAAATGGAACACTGTGATCTGCTGAACACTTGCTACCTGGAAGACCATTTCCTGGTGCCTGAGTCATCAACTTCCTTGGATGACATTGCCACATCTGTAACGAAAAGATGTAACGTGCTGCTAATTTACGAGGCCTCTGTAAGTGCTGATATTTTAAACCACTCAGGTGTGAATAGCAAGGCTGGCTGGTATTTGAAATCTCTTCAGCAATATTAGCTCACTGTGGATGATATTTGAAATACTTGTCTCTAAAGCTGGAGAGACGTGGATTTGGCAGATGGAACACTCAGTGGATAGGGAATTTCACCCAAAGAGTTGTGGTCAACAGCTCAACATCCACGTGGAAAAAGGTAACAGGTGGCCTTTCTCAGGGGTAGGGACTGGGACTGTCACTGTTTAACATCTGCATCAAAAGCAGTGTGACCACACTACCACTTCAGTGTCCAGTAGTAAAACACAAATTCCAGTATACTGATTTTACAACTACTGCTATTAAATTATTAAAATCTAAACAAGAGACATCTAAGGCTGTCAAAACACTCAAGAAGAGGGTTTTTTCAAGTTCTAAAATCTGTTACTGCATGTCATCCATGTAGGCTGACAATCAATAAACATGAGAGCAAGGAATCAAGAAGTCTCCAGGGTAAAGGCTCGTTACTCCAGTGCTCACCCCTTTGGCTGGGAGGAAGAACCATCCTCTCCCTTAACTAATCCCAATTGTCTTCTTTCAAAATATAGAATGTAAATTAGTTTGGCTGAAGATAATGGTGTTTCTGTTATTAGTAACACCCTGAAGAGCTTCAAACCCTGGCTGGGAATTTCACTCCTGGGGACTTGGCTTAGCAGGATCTCCTTTTAACAGACCCTGCTCAGTCCAGGATATAAAATGGCTTCAGAGTCCTCTCCAGGGACACTGATAGACCTGCATGCTTCATCACAGGCTATTACACGCTCACATTCACTGAGGTGAAAATCTGTGGGCAATATATATAAATTCAAAACATCCATGAAGCTCTTCAATCTGTCTGGAATTATTTGACTGAAATTCTGAATGCATTTGCTGACAGAAAATAAGAATTTGGTATGAAATCCTTTTCTTCTGTGTTGTTTCTATGGCTATCCAGAGAGACTGAAACAGCAGCTTTCAATCTAATTTTTAAGACACAATTTTATGGTGTAAATTAACTGACCAGCTTGAATTGCACTGGAAGTGGCCTCCTGAGTCAGACCAGAGCGTTACCCAGCTTGGAGAAGGTCCTTTTATTCTTCACAAAAATGGCTTTATTTATAATGGCCAAGGCTTTTAATAGTCTGTTTTAGGGTTACCAGCAGGAATAAACTACAGGCCCAATTTTCTCAGTAACAATGGGGTCTTCACAGGAATTGAAATTTCACTTAAATATGGATTTTTATGAAAGTTATTTTTTTACAGTATCAACGTTTGAGTAAGTTTTAAATATTTTCAGAATGTTTCATTTTTTTCAGGAAATTTATGTTATACTTCCTTGCATTTAATATCCATTGGATAGCCTAGACATTTCTAAATATAAGGTGAAACATTATGTTTAATTTCTTTCCTCTCAAAAAATCTGCTCTGTAAAATAAAAACCTAAAACCTCTCCATGCTCTGTGCTCAACCTGGCTTTGGAACACAAAGTTCTCCAACTGTGGAATTTCCTAAAAGCCAAACAAGGAAGTGCTGCCAAAACCTTCACAGACTCTTTTGAAAACATATAGTTCATGCAGTTCAATATATTTCCATCAATTTGATCAGATAACATTGTCATCTAATTAATTCTAGTACAAATATATGTGCCCTTAAGAGAGAACTGGCTGAAGATTGAGGCTTCTTTTAGTTAATATAAAGACAAACCAGTTTATTATAATGTTCCCTGGGGCAATAAATCCAGAGTGACCTTAAGCATGATTTTTTCTGTCAGTTCAAAAACATAATCTTCATTCTTGGTTAGCCAGGTGATTTAGTGTGTTCTTCAACTGCCCAGCAACAGATTATTTCACTTATGCCTTCCATTTATTCTTCCAACATAGCTGATCCTGGTAATAAAGAATCAGGTTCACAGTTCTTATCCCTGGTTAAACCTTCATAATTGTCTACATCTTAAATTAGGGATGTTATGCTGAGTTGTATTTAATACAGTAGCTTCACTCTGCGCCTCAGACAAACACACACAAAAATGACCTTGGATGACACACAAGATTCCAGTTCTCTAAAAATATCTCATTTACAAGCACTAGGCAGGTGCAGACAATGGTCCTTGTCCTTCTGTGTTACTGTTGGTTTCCATGACACAATTGATGATATTTAAAAAAAAAAAAAAAAAGTACTCCCTCACAATAGGAAGAAAACTATAAATGTCAGAGGTTGCCTTCAGAGGCTGTTTGCACACAGACAGTGGTACCTTGTTTCATTACTCACCTAAATTATGTCCTGGTTTACTTGACTGATGTTCAAGGGTGAAATCTGTGTTCTTTCAAAGGATGCTCTTTTAGGCCTTGTTTTCACAGGTAGTTTGAAGAAACTGAACCTTAACAAAAGAGAAGACAAGTGGGTTAGTAGGTTTAGTTCAACACTAGAGAGATCCAAGTCTTTATTCCTGCCCCATTGTCACACGTGACATAGAAACACTGAACAGCAATGTCAGAGACTCACAAAATCACAGGATGATTGAGGTTGGAAGGGACCTCTGGAAACCATCCTGTCCAACCCTCCTGCTCATGCAGTGTCACCTCAAGCAGGCTGCCCAGGACCATGTCCAGATAGCTTTTGGGTGCCTCCAGGGATGGAGACTCCACCACCTCCCTAGGTAACCTGTGCCAGTCACCACCACAGTGTTAAAGTGTTTCCTGATGCTCAGAGAGAGCCTCCTGTGTTTCAGTTTGTGCCCACTGCCTCTTGTCCTGTCACTGAACACCAATGAAAAGAGTCTCATTGCTTTCTCTTTACATCCTGCCTTCAGATATCTGTACATGATGAGACCACTCTGAGCCTGCTCCTCTCCAGGCTGGGCAGTCCCAGCTCTCTCAGCCTTTACCCACGTGAGCTGCTCCAGTCCCTCAGTCATCTCAGAGGTTCTTTGCTGGACTCTCCAGCAGCTTTGTATCTCCCAAGGCCAAAACAATTATTTCTCTTTTTTTTTTTCCCCTAGGCAATCAGAGAACACAAGCAGAGCAGCAGACTATGATATCAAGAGCACAAAGTAAAAATATCAAAAAACAGACAAAGAAGAGAAACACACCAAGTTGAAGCAAAGTGGTCAGGTGAGACCATCATCTTTTGTCCTACCTCATCAAGAAGCTGAACAGCACACAAAACATTTTCCTTTAACAATGTCCTCCAGTGCCTGCTATGGAGTGACTATTGGAAGGTGACATTTTCCCTTTCTTGTGACTGGTTATGTGCCCTGGGAAATGTAAAAATATCACCAAGGTATGCATAAGAGAGGAGTTAATTAGTTTAACTTCCTGATGGGAATATATTAACAGTGTAATAAGATGCTCAAATACTCTTTTTATGATTGTCCCTGCCAAAATGGTTGTTGGAAAGCTTTTTTGTAACACAAAAAGTTTTATCCTCCATATGGAGATCCAGATGCTGACTATGATCTTTGTGTGGCAGAGGTCACTGCAAACACTCAGCCTCCAAACCTCAGCAAGCTGCACCTCTGAGACTGTTACTGGAAGGATCCTGTGTCAGGATCAATACCTATAGACAACTTTCTCCTAAATTCCTCTACTGATCATTTCCCTGTGTCAATACGTAAAGCTTTGAGAGGAAACAAATTTATTTTTTTTCCATTTCCATCCAGTGTTTTCATATTTTAAAATCTTTTGTAACCAAGTTCAAATGCAATTTGTCCTGCACAGTCATTGCCCCAAGTGGACAACATAATTAATCATCTATTCTTATGCACTTGTGACTTAAAATGACTTCTAGCTGAACACTCTTACCCTAACTCTCCCCTTGATTAAGCCTGAACCATATAAACATGAATTTTATTACTGTCTTTCTCCTTCTGTCATCCAGAATGTCACTTTGCAATTTAACCTAATGAAAAAGAAAATAGTATGTTGATTTCCCCACTGTTCTAAAATACATCTATTTTTCATTTGAAATAATTTTTAATAGATTTTTAGATAGCTGCAATGACTAGAATAATATTTTCTTATGAATTGCATTCTAAAATTACACATAAATATTTTCCCTCTTACATACTGAATATGAGTGATGTGGAATTATATTCCTTATAATAAAACCTTAAATCAACTTCCAGCTTCTTTATAACTGTCTAGACAAGAAAAATATTCTCTAAAAGCCCCACTAACCTTAGGATCATCATTTAAGAGGACACTGTCTCCTAAGCTATTTATACTTTTATCTGTATCTGATAAAAATCTGTGGGTAGGACACACAGTCCAGTTTCTATTTCCCTGCTTTATAAAGGCAAACAATTACATTTAGCTGATTCTTTTCCTCTGAGAAAGGCGTTATATAAGCAATAAAGTAACTAATATTTAAGCAACATAGCCAGCAGTGTGGTAATTTATATAATATCAGATTTACAAATAAGAAGGACTGTAAAACCTTCTTTTCTTCAGGTTGCAAAGGAATGATGGCAAACTCTCAATTATTTCAGGAGGTCAAGCATCCCTTTTCAATGCCAGAGGTTTTGCACGTTTCTGTAACATTATCCTGGGTGATTTCGCCACCTCATAAGTAATTGCTTGCATTAAACAATTCTAAAAACTTTGGGAGATATCAAGACAAATGCCTGGAAGAATAAAAAACTTCAAAATGAAATAAAATTTAATAAAAAGCTTTCTGTCACTGAACATCCCCAAGTCCCCATATTATTTTGCTGATTCATTTATAAGATTATATATATTAAACAGCCATCTTTTTGAAAGGCCTTTCTGGTGCAAAATAAATTAACTTGACACATAAATTGTTCCCATTTTGGAGCTTTTCTAAAAGGCTAAATCTTGTTACCAAAAACAAAACAACCAACAAACCAAACCAAACCAAACAAACAAACACAAAACAACCAAGCATTGAAAGAGATAAAAGAAAATAAACAGAACAACAAAAATGTTCCATGTGGGGAAAAGAGTTTCCCTGCTTTCCAACACCCACTGGCCACAGGAGACACGCCAAGGAACCAGGATTTTCAAGCAGACCCACATCTCATTTTGGGAAGAGATTTTTTCCCAGGAAGCAGGTCCATTCTAGAGGACACCACACTGAGTCACAGGCAGTTCATACAAGCCCGGCACTAATTTTTTAGCATTAACAGTAACAACATTACATGGGCTCCTTTGAAGAATCTTTCCCTTAAGTGTAAGACAAATTTCTGGTCATCTGGTCACTGTTTGGCTGAACTAGAAAATCAGCCCTGGTGCTATAACTGCAGGGAAAAGCTTCAAGAACTGCCTGTGCTCTCTATTCTGCAGCTACATCAGCTGTACAGCTGCTTGTGCTAAGAAGGTTGTCAGGTACTGCCATACCAGTGCAGCTCATTTCCCTGCTGATTCAAGAATGGGTTACAGCTTAAATACTACAGCCATGCCCTGGATAACCCCCTTCTAGCATAAAAATAGCTTGATTTGAAATAATTAAAGAATTTCTACACATTATTTATTGTGAAAGAAAAAGTAAAGTTCCTTAAGTTCTTCAAGAACTTTAATTCTTTACTATTTATCTGACAGGTTTTGATTGCCTTGACTTGCCAGAATGACACTCCTACTAATCCCAGACTGTTTGGTTGTAATAACTAGGTAAGCTTCAAATTATATATTGTGTATCTCCTATCATTGTGGTTCCAGTGGATTTTATCTAAACTCTGTTTCTTCCTAAGCACTATTTTATTCTGACACATTGATGTAGTTAATATCTTTCCAAATCAATTCAAGTCTTGCTCAGGTTGATAAACATATTAATCTATAAAACTGATGCACTTTAATATGCATTCTTTGTCCTTTCTTACTGGTTATTAGCCAATTACATGTTACCACTGCTTTTTCATTCTGAAAAAAAATAAATGATAAACAATAGCTGTTGTGACAGCCAACTTAACCATCTAGCACCATCTTGAGGTTGAACTGCTCTTGACATTCTAAACTAAATGGACATTCCTTGATCAGCAGCTCACCAGAAGCTCTAGAGCGATGCAGGTACCTCGTTTTTAGTTACAAAAGCAACTAGTCATAAGGTTAATATGACAGACATCCTATAGATTTGTTTTCTTTTCTTCTTTGCATAGACTTGAGGACAATTCTGTTAATTCTGCTGGGAATTAAGCTTAAACTTGTATTCCAAAGGAAAAGTGGGACAGCGCACATTTTTATTCTGTAACTGCTCTGGACACTGTACTCAGAAGGCAGCTAAGGGAAGTTCTAAGTTTTACACCTTTATATACAAGTTCTTCCAAAATTACTCACCATTTTCACCGCAATTAATTCTGAAGTTTAGTTCTGGGCAAAAACACACATTTACAAAGAATGCCTCATTCCAAAAGGGCCACCCAGACATAACCATCTTTAAAACTAATGTATTTCTAACTGAAAATATCTGGGTATGTCTGGATATGACATTTGTTGAAACACAATGAAAATGTCAAATAAAGCTTTTGAGTTCCAAGGCTTTTCACTGACTTACAGTGGTTTGGCTCACAGGTTTCAGTACATTTTAACATGAATTATATCTGGACTTTTTCCACAACAAAGATAATTGCCTGGTGAAAATCAATTACAGCCATTGTCAGTGTCAGGGAATTGATTTAAAGTCGATGTTGATGGTAACCATCTATACCAGAAAGACAAATGCAAAGCAAATGCAAATCAAAATACACAATAATCAATAACAGACATGGATATGCAGGAGACAGGGAATCCAGTCTCTGAAGACAGGTACCTATTCTCCTGAGACAGCAGGGACAAGACAAGGGAAGCAGAAGAAAGGAAGTCTAACTCCTCCCAAGCCAGAGCTTTTGGAAGTGCCACCAGGATTTGTGCCAATGCCTTGAGAAAACTGAGCAGAGTATCTCTCAGATCTCAGCAAGAGATGCAACCCACAGGGAGAGCAAGGAAAACTTTCAAAGAAAATACAGCTCTTACTAAATATCTGGAAAATTATTGGGAAAGGGACTGAGGCACTCCTATTGTGAACTGGAAAATCTACCTCCTGGTTAGCCACAACCCCAGGGCTGAGAGCCACCAGTGCAGTTAAACAGCTCTAACTGTGGCTCTTTTAGACTTAGATGAGACAGCAAATGGAACTGAATGGCACCGAAAGCCCCTTTTGTTAGGTGTTCTCAAAATATCTGCAGCAGCACTTCAAACTTTCCAATGACAGTGTTAGGGGAAATTCCATCCATGAGAGCCTCTTCCTAGAGCAGCTATTCAAAACATCATGTGAAGAACAAGCAAAAGTATAAACAGCCCAGCACTTTCAGAGACAATAATTGCCTCTCCTGCCCATTCACACTACAATCATGGGGAGAACAAACCAGGAATGTGGGTCAGTACTTGAGCCAGTGGCAGGTTTAAAACTCCAGACTGAATATGTGCATCCAGATCTACACTTAGCCCACCTTGCAACATGTGCCTTGAAAGACAGCAATGTATAGGAACTCCAGTTGTTTCTGGCTCTGCTCTGATCTCCTTTTAACCCCCCTCCCCATCTCCTGGCTCCCTCCCTTTCCTATCACATCTATGTTGGCTGAGCATTTTCCAGAACAGCAGCTGTGTACGTGTATTCCACTGGGGATTGGGGACCGACTTCCTGAATCACACAGATGCTTCAGCTTTCATCATGTAACCCCAAAGCCTGAGACTGGAGGAGTCCTCATATTTTTATGATGCCTGTCTGTGTGTCTTTAGCCCATCAATGATTTATGAATTATGGATGAAGGAACTAGGAAGAGAGCGTGCACATATACATAAATCTAGCCCAAATTACAGTGTTGACACTTGTTGTCTATTGACACTTCTTGGTTATGTCCATGCCAATCTAATTCTTTCTTAAGTAATCAATTTAGACATTGAAAATGAAAATTACTTTTCATGTTCCAATTGTTCTTGTTTCATCATTGTATTTGACATCTCAAATACTCAATATTTTAATTCCAAACAACCCTTAATCAGTGCTGTTTTCTTTTATGAAGAAAAACATAATTAAAGCAACAAAATATGGCTTGAGACAACAGAAGTTTGCAGCTCCGTGGTTAGCACAGTAAAGTGTTATTTAGCCTTCACTGAGATAAATTATTTGATGCATATTATGTTTGCTGAAAGGCAAACGCACTTTAACATTGCAGTTTGTCTCTGAACAGATCACTTCATTCTGCTGAAAGTTTTAGACCACCTATTTTAGCAAAGCAAAAGAGAATGTGTGTGTCAGATCAAGTGCAGGAAGCGAAAGGGCAGACATTCCAAGGCAGCTCCCAGAGTTAGGTACCACTGGAGCTTGCAGCCTGCAATTTGGGTCTTACACAATGACCTTTGAGTGACATGCAAAGTACATGTGGCACTCAGAAGGTCAGATTAGGTGATCTAACTGCTTTCCCGGGGTCTTAAACTCTTTGATTCCTCACCCAGATCAAAGAGGCTCTGCTGATTGCTTCTTCTTAACCAATTAGAGATTCTTATGGCCCCACAAAGACACAGAAATGTACCTGTAAATTTGGGTAAATTTGTTACAATTATGCACACAAAAGAAAAGAAAAAGGGAAATAGATCTAACTCCCTTGTCATCACACTTCTCAAGAAAAATTTCCAGTATACTGAGGTCCACCCTAAAGTAGATCACCCTTTTGAAACCACTCCTGTTAAAGAGTTAGGCAGGCATTTGTTTCATGTCCTAAAGACTGTTGTAGAAATTAATATCCTGGGTCTGATCTGAAGCCCATTAAAAGTTACTGGGTCATTTTCATGGCTTTTATGCAGGCAGCAGCTCAGATCTTATTGCCATTTAGAATAGCAGATGAAAGTTAGCTGTTTTACACAGATCTGTATAAATTAACACTATATTTGGGATAACAGACTGTGTTTTTTAGCCATCAATATCAAGATCTCCTGCCCTGGTACCATTCCGGGACTGTGGTCCAGAGCAATTGGGAGAGCCAACAGACTTCTGAGAGGAGTGAAAGGCCTCCTGTCTCTGTAATATCCCCCCACAAGTGATTATGCTCAGCCCCACCCAGCTGATATTTAATTGGATTTCTGCAGCTAATGGGTATTTTATTGCTGACATTACACCTTTCCTCACTTCTGACTAAAACCTTCATGAGCTTCAGCCGACACCTCCGAGGTGAAGAGCCAAGCTGAGGATCAGATCAGCTTTCCCCTGGAGGAAACTCTCATTATCTTAGTGCCACGAACAGCAAGCTGATCACACAGCCATTAACATCCCTGAAAACCCCCTGCCCGTCAGCTCCGTGGAAAGAGATGTATCTTGTGTGCTAAACAAAACACATCAGGCAAGAACATCAGACTCAGTAGAGAGAAGGCATAAAAAGATGCTTTTCCACTGCCAACTGTTTTCAAAGCTCCACTTGAAACAAGTGACAAAGCAGTAGTTATTGTACAACAGATTGTGCGGTTGCCATGAAAACCAAAAGTTTCGGCACTCTTAGCTATCATTAGGATCCTCACTGGCACACTGAATCTTGATAGTTGCAGGGTACAAAACAGGAACCCCAGGGGGACCATCTACCCAGTAATTTACGTGGAGCTGTGTAGGAGGCCAATATTTCAAGCAGGCTTGGTGTATGTGTTCAGGGTAAATCGGGGAGCCTAATAAGCTGTAAAAATGTACATCATCCGTCCTTCCCGGGTAAGACTAATGTCCTCTGATGATAATTTCTAAAATGGGTTATGAATACTGAAATTTTAAACTGTTGTGAAAAGCCATAAAACCAGTCAGAGCGAGCATATCAAATTAATGTGTGATAATCCCTCCCTTGCTGCAGCCAGATTTTATTTTTAAGTTGCATTTTAAAAATGTCTACTGTGAAGGATAAAAACAGTGGGGATGTGATAATACCACACCAACCGAGAAAAAAAAAAGTCCTTGTCCAAATTTGCAAAACCCAAATCTGTTATTTTCAGAGCAGGATGCACTTTTAAATGACAGTGTGCAGAGGAAAAAGGGAAAAGGCTACCCTTGGAGCAGTGCTATTCAGACAGATACTCGAAAAGGCCTCAGATATCCTTCTGGCAACCCTGAAATCCATCCCCCCCATTCTTTACTGGCCAGTAGAGTACAGCACCAACTGTGTTCCCATATGTAAACCATGCTGCTCTGCTATGGAGAGAGGTTAATAAGAAAAATACATATTCCTGAGCTTCAAATATTTCTACAACATTGGAAGATGGCACCATTTCTTGCTTGCAAAGAAAAGTGATTTTGGGGGTAGGATGTGAATTCTTATTTTCTCCACAACAACTGACCAATATTTATTGTCTGTACCGGTTTTGTTTCAGCAAGGTATAACGAGAGAGCTTTGAGAGTTTAAATTTCCTGATTCCAAGGGTGTTGTAAATAAAAAAAAAGCCTGAGGGAGCTGTTGGTGAGCAAGCAAGCTGAGTACCTGGTTTAACCTAAAGAGTTTCATTTCCACCAAAAATGTTAACAGAAAAGGATCAGGACATATCCAGCAGTCCTTGCCAGCCTGTGACTCCAAATATCTCAGCTTTCAGGCTGTGGTGCTTCACTGCAGTTTGCCACTGAAAATTTGGCACATCTTCTGTCTGACATTTATTAGATATAAACTCCTGTTTCTTGTTCTCAAGTACAAAAGCCATTATAGAAAAGTATCTAATATGAGAAAGATATTGCATTATAGAGCAACTGAAGGGATAGAATTTGTTTCTGTTTCATAAGCAGAAACTAGATATTTCCTAAATGTGTTCCTTGCATTTGAGAAAACTGTGAAGAAAGATGGAATTACCTTTCTTTGATTCACAGAAAAATAATATGAAAGTGATCTCGAATGCTCAGTATGATAACAGATAAAGCATGAGATGGGATATAAATGACACTTTTTACAGACCATAAAACCAGAAAAAGTAAAGGATGCTTGGGTTCCTAATATCAATTTATAGTTTCTACCTAGAGAAAAATGTTGCATTAACACGCAGACTACAATATGAAATGTATCTCAAAAGACTGGTGCTAGTCCAGGAGATAATTTCCTAAATCAAAAGGGTTCCATCCAATGTGCTAGGAAATCTATATTCCACTTTACCTTGAGAGATAAAGACTAATTCCTCCTAGAGCTAAAAAAGTGATAGTTGAGGTAAAACCAATCATCCCACTGCATTTCTTAGGTGCAAGCAAAATAAAGTCTAAACCCCAGTGCTTTTAAAGAACCAATTCCAGGAAGCCAGAAACAATTACGAAGCAGATTGATTGTTGATGTGAATTTAACAGAATAGCATGAGTGAGAGCAAGTTACAATGCCATTATTTTTCCAAGTGCCACAAAATAATAATCAAGGAAACCTACTCATTTTTAAAGCTCCACTGTAGAGACAAAAAAAAAATCCATGAATAAGAAAAGAATACTTATTAAATTACAAAAATAGGGCAACTAATGATAACATATCAAGAGGTAGCACTTGCAGAAAATTGAGACCAGACGAATAAAATTGCTATCCAGCATAGTTAAAACCAATAGAAGCTTTTTAAAATATGTGAAGAAACAAAACTAACATTACCTCCCAAGATATCATTAAAACGTGCCCCTTACAAACTAAAGTCAGTTCCTTGCTTTTTAAAATCGATTCATGGTTTCAAGACTTGGAGGAAAAAATGCAATATATAATTTTTCTGCCATTTTAAAATTATTATTTTTTAATGACACATTATTACCATTATTGACTGTTGGTTTGTCTCCATTCTATATTATCCACTGCTAATACGACCACTTTTATCAGTCTAACTGATGTAGCCTCCTTTGGAGCCTCCTTTGGGAATTTATCCTTGGGAATCAGAGGCTGTCAAGGGCTGTGAGAGAGGAATTGCAAAAAATAAAAGCAATCAGTAAAAAGCACATATTTACCAAGAAATGTAACTGTACAGTTGCCTCAGTGGTGTTATTGTTTTCTCCCAGGTAAATTGTTTTATGACAGGCAGTGCATTTTTTTTATTTCCAATCCTGTAAGCAAACAGCAACTACAAACAAAATTGCCCCAAAGGAAAAGAAATCCAAGAATAACAAATTCAAATGAAATGGGACATGTGACAGAAAGCAATTCTCAGTGCAGGTTGGGCAATTATGAGATGGAAACCATAAAAAGTTACAGGAGAGGTATTTCTGGTTTTTTCATATTTTCTGTTTTAGCTCATTAGTGTTTGAGCCTTTGGATTACTAAACTTAATTAGCAATAATTTAATTACTACCATATATTTTGAGGTGCAGAGCTCTCCTCAGCAGGCACTTGCTCCCTCAGATGGCACTCTGGAGACTTACAGATGTGTGTTGCTGTTATCAGTGGTTTCTTCTAGTCACCCAGTGCAGCAATGGAGCAGCAGAGAACAGATGTGGCCTCAACTCCTTCTCAATTTATAACTGCCTATAGTAAATCCACTTGCAACTCTGGCATTCAAATGACAAGCCACAATGTTCTTCCTCACTAGGTTCCTAAGGTGGAAAAAAAATATTCATGTCTGGGAAAATATTTATGATTGCAAGTATATCTGTATATCCTTAGGAGACAGACACGTCACAGAGCTCTGGTGCTTCAACTCTAGGATTGAAGTGTATGGTTTTGAAAGAGTATTCCCTGTGGGAGAGAGGCATAATACATAAATCACCAGATTCTGAGCTTAGAGAAGCTTTTAGGCTAACTCAGGCCTAATCTGAGCTCTGGACTGCATAAACATACAGTGTTTCTTTTCCCCTGTGTAAAGGGCTTTGATCAATTCCAATAAATGCTGCTTTTAATTGTCCTGTACTTTACCGGTATCAAATAAAGGAGTTCTTGTGGGCATGTTTTCCTCCTACCATTTTGGAAATGCTTCAATTTTAGTCATTTAAGAGACAACATGAAATCTCTGCAGATGAACAAAGACAGGTGTGGGGAAGGCTTAAAAAGCAACAACCACATTATCATTCAGTAATTCATGGCATTGTCAGCAAGGGAGAAATGTGAAACCTGCCAGGCCAGGAAATACTGCACAGTTGCAATTTTGGCAGCTCTTACTCTCCAGCTAAGCCTTCAAAAGCAAAGGAACAGAAGGCAAAAATATAGCAAAGCACGTGCAATTTACTGAAAGACATAACTGGTAAACTCTCCTTCAGGGTTATAAGACAAAATATTCAGAACCTGGTGGTAAAAATGGACCAGGTACAGAGGTACCAGTTGTCCAGAATGAGCAGAACCTGAAGAGACGCGGCAAATGCAAACAAAGGATACAATTAGTTATTAGTTCCAGTAAGAAGACCTAAAATACTCTTACAGAGAAAGCTCAGGACATGTCTTCCCATTCCTTCACCAAATGAACCTCTTGCATTTCCATTCAAGTTTAAAGTAAACATGAGCAAATTCAGCCTAATTTTTGGAATTCAAATGAGGCATCTTAGGAACTAACTCTCTGTGTCCCCTGGGTTAAAGCAGAATTACAGGGGTCTCAAGAGATGGTTTACAGCATCATGGCATCTCACTGCCTTATGCAGAGGCAATCTCTTGGATTTTTCTGCAAAGTCATAGCAGACGTTCACATTTGGCTTACAAAAGCTGCACAGCAGGAAACTGAAATTCTGGTATGGTCTCGAGTCCAGATGTCATGTCCATCACTGTGGCTTTGATGAGAATAAGGTGGAGTTGCACTCACTTTGAACTCCTTTGGCCTTGGTCTGCTCAACCACACCTGGGAGAAGGTTGACCTGGAATTTCAGAGTCTTATGTAATGCAAATGCCAGTTTGGTCTGAACACACTTGAGCTTAAGCCCAGCAGCAAATTACAGCACATAGAGCTGCTTGGATTGATAAACCGTCTCCAGACAGAGGATTGCTTGAGGATATCTAATAGCATTCCCATAAAACCCAAGGGGCTTTGGCTGCCTTTATCATGAATAGTGAAGAGCTGCAGTTTCTGTCTCTGGAGAATAATAACTGAGGCTTGGTTTGGCTACTGTGCTACTTGGAGGCTCTTCTGATCTCTATTTCAGACTGAAAAGTTGGTTCTTGGAAGATGTGGCACTTCTTAAAGAGGTGTGTACTGTTACTGTCACTGCACACCATCCCAAGGTGAACTCCTGTTATGTTTTCTCAGGCTTTAGAGCTTTCTCTTTAAGTACAAAGTAGGGGACATTTCTAACGTCTCCTGGTTTAATAACTAACATGTTGATATTCATGTTGAAGTGCAAGGTTTTCTCAGGGCAGCAATACATTTTAACATTAGTTGATAGCACTGGAAAGGGCAAACAGGCTGTCAGACACACCACAGAGACATAAGGAAAGGGTTGGAAAAGCGTTCTGGTTTTCAGTAGTAATAACCACTTCTCCCTACAAGCCTTGTTTCTTTTCTGACCTTAAATCTTCTCAAATGCAACAATACTTCTCTGCATATTTATATTCAGGGTTTTAACCACTAGGGTGGGTGGTTTATTTCTAATTTAATCAATTAAGTGTCTCTAAGGCACTTTTGAAAACGTGGTTGGGTCTAAAACGTTTTATATTAGCATCTCACAGGATTTTTTAAGATAAGCTAAACATATTAGATGCTTAAACTTCATTAGTTCCAACTTGCTCAGGCACTTTTTAAAATCCCAGAAGATATTCACATCTATCATTAGATGAATAAATAATTTTTGACAAGCTATTCCTTAACTATATTTGAAAATTACCATAGGAGTAATTTTAAGCTCTGTAGATAAAAATAATTTAAAAAAAAACCTCTGAGAAGTTGGCAACCTACTGTTTCTTATCTTGAACTATGCCTCTTTATAATGAAACAAAATGAAGTTTGAGTGCAACAATTAAATAAAAGTATTCTGTTATGAAAATAATACTAAAAAGTAGTGGAGCCATTAGATATATTTAGAGATCTATGAATGAAAGGTGTTCAGAAAGCTGCACTCAGGCATGCTCCCACATTTGTCAAGCATGTCCACAATAATGCTGATTTCTACAGGTTGGATACAACCTTCTCAGAAGCAGGAGTCTGATTCAGACTAAATACAAATTTGTCCAGAGTGGTTCCATAAAGTTTCTCATCGCTTCAGTTAGAGTTGAATGGTTCTTTAGTGTGCAATGCTGTGCACTTTACATTTTACATACAGAACTTTCTTTAGCAAGAATGGATTGTATGACCATCTGTTCTAGGAAAAAGGTGGAATGGCAAGCAAGTATTGCAAATATTAAATATTTATTACTCACTGGGGATAATTTTCCTGTTAGAACCAGCAGAAGTGGAGAAGCCAAATCTCTATTCTGTTTTATGGACAAAGCAGTGGCTTCACGCTGAAGGGAAAATATAATAGATTGACAAAGTTTACACAGTTCTGTTTACTTCATCCCTCATAGATTTTCTAAAAGTACCTTTGTAATGTAAGTCAGGACTGTCCACCATTTACATAGGTCATATCTGCTGTGGCCAAATTACAGATGTGAGGACTACAGGCCTGTTGCTCCCCCCGCCAAAAAAAAACCAAACAGAAAAAACCAAAATCAAACCAAACCAAAACAACAACCGAAAAAAAACCACAAAAAAACCCACAAAAAACCCACAAAAACAAAACCCACAAAATAAACCCAAAACAAACCAAAACCAAAAACCCAAAACAAACAAGCAAACAAACAAACAAAAAACCACAAAACCCCAAAACAAATCAAAAGCAAGAAAAACCAATTCTATTGTGAGGCTGAGCCTCCTTCCCAAAGAATTCTCATGACAGACCTTAAAGAATGTTCTGAACTCCACCTGTGAGTGGTCCTTGCTGTCCTGCTACAAAATCCTGTTCTCACAGACAAACTTCTCTCTCTTACAGAACATCCTCCTCTGGCACTTACTATGATGAGTGAGAAGAATACTGATGGCTAATTAAGAGCTTCATGATTCCTTAATGTTTTCAACTCCTACATGTACAAAACCTTTTTGAGACAAATCTAAAAATACAGAAATATTATTATGCTTATCTCAGATATGTAACAACGCTTCTGTTAATTCTGTTATGTCTATCAGACTAAAGGTTAGCCAAAGCTCGAATTCAGATTCAAAATCAATAAAAAGCTGAAAAGTCTAACACATCACACTGGAATTTGCAAAAGATCAGCCTCTGACACAATTCTCCAGTATTTTAGTTAAAATTTCATAACTCTTCTCAGAGTATTCCTGCTGGGTCTGAAATAAAGCTCACAAATCCATCCTTTGAGCATCTAACTTCAGCAACTACAAGTAAGTGAACATGAGTGTTTCAAACTACAAGTAAACATAATAAAGATCCTCCAGTAAAATTCCACTGATTTCCTTTAAGTCATTAACAGCAAAGCCCAGTTTTTCTGGCCTGAGGATAGAGAAGTGTGTGCACACCAAAGAAGAAAGCATGCAGCATTTTGTTTGTTTGTTTGTTTGTTTTTTTATTATGCTGAGTCTTAAGCCAGCTCCATTTTACTCTGAAAGCCTGTGGATTCCTAGACATGCTTCTGCAGCTAAAGGTGGAATATCTGCAGAACACCAGGACAATTAATTAGTGACTCCAATCACATTTGAATATTACCTTACCTTCTGTTCAGGAAACTCTCTAGGTAGGAGTTTTTCAACCTGGAAAGCAACATTACACCACATCACATCTGCTTCACTCCAGCAAAAGCTGCTCTTTTACTTGATGTATTCTTCTGCTGGAGTCTCAGTTCTTTCTTTCCACCCCCAATGCCATTCATCTGGAAGATAAGAGATTATTCCAGGACATTGGATCCGTCACAGATTGCTGCCATCCCATAGTCTGCAGAAAAATAGACATCACAATTACTTTACTCAAATATTAATTGCTTTACTGATAAAACTGTGAAGCAGGTCTTATAGCCTTCTTGTATATCTTCTGCATATGAAGGAACATAGACTTGATCTCTTACCAAGAGAATAATTCCAAAAGCAACAAAAAATCAATGTTCTGATATAACTATAAATGAAATACCTTTCTGGACAGAGAAAGGAGGGGCTATTCAAGAGGAGTTAGTGTAACAGCATTATAACAAAGGGAAGGTATTTATATTAAAAATTTAGATGATGAACACAAGAATAACTTCCAACCTAAAAGGTTATAAAAGTAGCAAAAACTAAACAAGTAAAAGGCCTTGACTTTCCCCATATGTATGTAGCCTTCCATACCACTTCGGGTTTTTTAGCTGTAAGAGAAAGACCTATTCAATATTCTTAGTTCTGCTGGAAGTGGAAGATAAATTAATAGGGGGATATTTTATTCAAATGTATTTTACACATAATTGATGTTTTATACAAATACAATAAAGGTTAGTTTTGCCATGTGGAAAATAATATTGCTTTGGGGTTTCATTAGTACTGCTTAAGTAAAAGTAATCCTTTTTTTAAAGGCACAAACCAGAATTAGAATGGAGAGTCATGCAACCCAAAAAAAAAATAAATAAATAAAGGGTTTCCTGTAGTGTTTAACAGGGCTTCACCATAGTCTACTGAAAACACTATTCTTTTAAATTATTGTCCTCCTGTATTTGTATGAAAAATCCATTCAACAAGGAGTCACTAAAGGTATTAGTACAAAAATTGTGCATAATCATATACTATTGTCAACAAGAGGGAAAAATCAGCATTTTAAGTTACACTGGAAAAGTTTTTTCTATCAAAACTTTAGCAGAACTGAGCCTGAAGGGGTTGTGCAGCAAGTCGATTTGAGTTTGTAACTCCACGCATAGAAGTTACTTTGGCATCTAAAAGTCCAGTCAGCTCTTCTTGTCCTTTTATTATATTATCCCTCCATGCCCTTGACATGAGTGATTTTTTTGCAATATAACAATGGTTTCATTTATATGGCTCATTTAATAAGCAGCATTTAAGAACATATTCTTTCTCAGCATGTATCCTGAACTATTGTCTGAATATTACCAAAACGACTAGCACATTAGTAGTATAAAATTAATCTAATTTTACCACTGTTAATTAGCACTATATTTCTAACTTATGTACATAGAAATATTTTTTGACAATGGAGATAAGTCTTTCTCAATTTTCGCTGTTCTGATGATAAAAACAAGATAAATTTCCTGAGAGCAAAAAGATTCCATTCTTATTAATTTTTGAGTATCATAAAACGATACCAATTATTTCCACCTAAAGGCACAGAAGCTTAATTCTGATACTAAGCAAAGTGCCATTTTAAAATCTCAGGATTTGTTTCTTTGCTGCAAAGGGATTTCATAAAGATGAGTGCTCAGAACTAGCTACCAATATGGGAAACAGTTTATTCTACACTGACAGTCTCTCTGGTGTAAGCTATTACAGTTTCTCAGGGGGGTGAAGATGAATCATTCTTCCTGTTGCATTTATTTATATTAACTCACAAACCTGTAATACGTGGTTTAAGGACAGAGTTATGCCAGACTATTCATTTTATTCAGTCCACCGGCCATGCCTAAATGGGGTGTAAATCCTGTTGAATGCCCAGAATCCCACGGCATGGCCAGCTCCTCTGGGATGGAGTATCCCCCCACTCAAGCAGGGGCACTAAGGCAGGTTGCCCAGGGCCACTCCCAGGCTGGCACATTTCATAAAAAGACACAGAAATCTAATGACGACACCTGTATTTCCAGATCATTTGATCTTTGAAAGAATAATCCATCTCTTACCATATGAATGCAATGGAAAATCTCCCAGTGGTATAAGGATCTGAGGATCTCCAGCCCTTGAATGTCAGGGTTTACTGACATTCTTCAAATTCCTTTGATTTTGTTGTTGAAAATTGGTGCAGAGAGCAAGGCTTTTGCAATTGGAACTGTACAGTTAAAACATGAAAGAAAAGTCTCTCCAAGCACTTAAGGGTTGCTGTGTGAACAATTTTGGGCTGTCACTTCGACTCTTTATCAAGCACCGCTTCCCAGATTGGGCCTTGACAGGTGCAAAGGCAAGTTGTGGCAGCGCCAGGGCTTGGCACACACTGACAACACAGACCAGCTAAGTAACAACTCTATTGCCATTTGGAGAAGATGAAAAAAAAAAAAATTTATGTTTTTAATTGGTAAACACTGACTGCCAAGTTCATAAATCAAAATTTAAATGTATATATTGCAGAATCCTTCAATTTCAGGTTTTTTTCTTTCCTATTACACTCTTTGAACTAATTTTGGAGGGCAGCTGGGGCTATCAAACACTTCATTGAACTGTTCTTTTCACTTCAAAAATGTAAAACTCTTTTGTGAAATAGATGCAGCAAAGGAAATGTATCCAGATGACTAATTCCAGCAGTGATTTTAACTCATAATCTCATTAGCACTGCCAGCAGAGTCAGCAAAAACATCAAGATCTCTATGTGTAACATTGTGCTGCATTTGTGAAATTCAACGGGCCAAATTCTGCTCTCAGGGTTTTTTTATCTGATCAAATACGATTTGGACCAGTTTAGCTGATGGCAGGTTTTGGACCTCTATCAGCTGGCTTCAGAAAAGCTTCACCTGTCCTTTGAGTAGACTGACAAAATCAGCAGAAAACAGACACATAACAGCTCCAACAGGAATTGATAAGCCCCAGGTTGGCCAAGAAATTGAACAGCTACATTTGCCCAAGTCTGGTGCAAAGTCCTGCCTGAGACTGACACCTTTGAAGGTAAAATCCCAATTTGGTTTTCTGACATTTGGTGGGTTTGTTTGGGGCTTTTTCATTAATGAGGAAATTATAGAGTTTCCTATATTTGAAATGTAAATATTCCATCTTCCCTTATTCCTTCCATCCTAAACAGCATCCTAAACACACCCCTCATCTATTATACAAACAGAGAGGGCAGAAAAGTCATTTGTCATTATAATCACATAAATGTGTCACTAGCTCTGAAGAATGCCTGACTGAAGGCCAAGAATGCCTCTATTTTCCAGGATGATGAGGCACTTTCTTTTAACAAATACTTTAAGCTCTTTTTAAATGGCTGAAATTATTACAATCCTGGCAACCTCTCCAAAATTTCTTGCCATCAGTTTGACACCAGCACAATGGTTTTCATCCTTTCACGGTGTTTGTGACTATTCCCATACAGATGAGACATTGCCTGGTTAATCACACAACAGATTGAGCCAAGGGAGTGAAGAAGGGTTCCCTGGTACAGATAAATGTAGATGTGGCACAATGTGACACCCACGGGTGTATGGGGGTCCTCTCTTCTATCATAACCTGGTTATGGATCAGTTATTGGGCTGAGAGTCCTTTATGATGGCAATAGTCCTTATTTGTGTGCACACAGTTGTCACAAACTGGAAGGGTATCCTGTGCTCTTACAATATAGGTAGAAATGTGACTCATTTGCATTAAGATCACTTTAGCAGTTGCAAGTTTTGCTTAAGTGGATCCTGAAATAACAGCCCATCTGAATCTCATTCTAAAAACACATCCATGCTCAGGGAAGCCAAATCTGTCACTTACCCAGCACTGGAGTTTAGACATCATTACAGAAGTTTCCCTTAAGGGCTATTGTTGGTCTCCCTGCCAACACTTGAAGTACTTCCCAAGTTTCACCTACTCACATACAGTCCTTAACAAGAGCAAAGGATTCAGTGGAGGAGTCACTTGAGGGCTGCTTCAGCTGACTGTGTGCTCCTATGGCATGAGGAATTCTTTAACCAGTTCAAATACGTATTTGCCTTTTCATCCTCTAGCTTACAGGCAGAATTAAAAACTTGGACAGAAGGAGCCCTTCCTGAAGGAAATAAACCATAAGTTTCCTGTTTCTCTTCTACTGAGAAGCCCAAACAAAAATCCAGCATGAGCCATCAGGACAGCATTTGCTGCACACAGCTTTTCCTTTTGCCTCTGAAATTCATGATTCAACAGAAATGCAACAACTTGGTAACTTGTGGTACCACTGCAAATGCCTGGATACAGACAACTGTGGGGGACCTGTGAGGGCCACAATTCAACCCTAAAGTACTATTTTCTGTCACAGTGGTCCCACTGAAGTCATCTGAACTACTTGCTACACTAATGAGCAAGAACACGATGACTTTTTTTCAGCTGTGAAAAGGTGCCAAGGAGCATCTTTCTCAAGTGGGTGCTGTGCTACCTTCTCATTCCTTAGGGATGTGAGTCATTTGTGGCTTTGTCCTTACCAAGTGCTGCAGCCTCCCTTCGGGGTGTGATGCCAACTGGACTTCAGTGGAAGTTACTTCGAAGGGTCACACCGGTGACCTCCATGTGCCCCGACCCTCTGCAAATACAATGCAATCATAAAACACAGCTCATGGGAGCACAGCGAGATTTATGCAGTTAATATAAATGTACTTTGAAATATTCTATTGGGAAAAAAAAACAAACAAACAAACACAGAAGAGGAGCACCAAGAGTAGCAACAACACCAAATTTGAGTATGTGAGGAGTCTGAAAACGCATCTTTACACACTTATACTTTAAATAATTCAGAGCACTCTATCAGCAGCCCTTGGATGCAGCACTAGGACATTGGTTTGTTAACATTACTGCTATATAAACATGCATTTTAGTCTTGTGAAAGTCTCAAGAGTGCTTTGGCAAGATTTACCCACTAAAATCCCATTGCAAAAAAGCCATTATTTTTGTTTCTTTGATTAATCTTTTGGAGTACGTGGTTTCATGGTAGAATGGATTTTCCAAGATAAAGTTTAAAATGAAGAAGAGAAACAACTAGATTTTTAAATTCATATTTTTGAAGTTTTCCCTCTCCAATTAATTTTTTTACAGTGGAATTGATATTAAAGTACAGAAACGACAGTTTGAAGGAGGATGAAAATGCATGGAAAAGAAGGGATCAGGAAGCTGTGAGCGATTTATGTGTTTCTTGATCAGCCAAGAAAAATTCAGTTTATCTGCAGACCTAATGACTTTTCACTGTACAGCCATATTGCACCAACTTGTAATACATAATAACAAGAAACATAACTGGGTTTTTATGTATTTAGGTCAACATGAAGAGTCAGCAAGGCAGAGGTGCTAACAGAGTTAGAAAGCATTGCAGTAATGATCTGCAGGCCCACATAGTTCAGAGTGTTAGAGCCAACTTACCTCCTTCACAAGCACTTTATTTTTTAAATTGATTCCTTCTACCTTTATGGATTTCTTGAGTCAAGGTCAATACTTTCATTCTGTAGCCAGGAATAGGCCAGACAATAAAAGTTGCAGAAATTAATTCATCTAAAAGAGATGCGTGTCATTGGGATTGGAGAAGAATAGAAGTTATCTTCAAAAAGTTGCTGAGTGTAAATATTCTCCTTTGTTTACTCAGCGCTGCAGCAGGTAGAAACCTGGGGAAGCAGATTAAAGGTCACATTCAAGTATGCCATGCTTATGTCCATTGATATATGGTCCAACTTTCACAGTAAATTCTGTGTGTACCTGACTTATGTGAAGCACATCTAATTCAGGCCTCCAAAGTTCTGAGTTTGTGCAGGCAGGAAGGACCTGGTACTCAGCTCTCTGAAGCATCACTACCAAATTCCACAGCGTTTAGGAATATCTAAGAATAGGTCTGGAAATATAAGAAGTGTCAGAACACAGACTTTTTATAGGGTGGTTACAAGGAATCACAAACTGCAGTGTAATGAGTAGCATGGAAATTATATTTATTAGCAAAGAATTCTGGAAGAAAAGGAACTCTAAGCATTAACCTAAGGACTCATAAGGATGAATCTCTATCAGTGTTTTTCCTAGTGAAGGGCAGATGAGTCTGACAAATTGCACTGATTATATTTTCAGTATGCAGGCAAACTGACATTTTACCTTCATTATTTCTCCATTGTTCTATTTTGAGCTTCCCACAAGGTATGTGCAGGAGAGAAATGAGCTGTAATGCACAAAGACTAGTGTAAACTTACTTTTGTTACTGGGAAAAAGAGTAAAGAAAATTTAGAACTAGAATTAACAAGATGAGTAGGACTACAGTTAACTTGATTTTCACAAATTTACATCTCATCTGGCTAAAAAGAAAAAACTTCTAGTGATAAGTGTTTCAGAACTCAGAGACAAAAATTTATATTTCCTGGATTTATTGCCTCAACACAAAATTGCACACTACATTTTTCTACAGTCAAGCCTCTCCTAGTGCAATGTAGCACTAATCCATGTCCTGTAACTCATCCATGTTTTGTATGACATGCCCCTTCAACCCCAGTAAAACACCGGAGCTTTTTTACATCTTTGTGGATCAAAGTGTCTTTTCCACTGACAGTTGTAGAGCTTTAAAGGAACAATTTAACATCCATGTGACCTTGAAGATGCGCCCAATTTTTTATCAACTGGAAGAACATATCTAGATTTGGTGGAGCTTCAAAGCCCTCAGAGATTCTCAAAACTGTCATATTGTGAGACAAGGCACCAGCTGAGTCTCCCCTCCAAACACTTGGATGGGTTTTGACAGCAAACATCGTGTAAAAGAGAGATCTGGTGTTACAAGAGCACATTAAGGGCCTGCTGGTGGCTACAGGGCTGAGGGGATACTGCCTTGTCAGAGATGCCCCCTCCACAGCCTCATTTATTTGGGCATGTTGAACACAGAAGGACTGTCACAAGAGCTTCATCTTGTCATGGCTTTTATTGAGGTTATGTAAGTAAGAAAAAAATTGCAGAACTCCATTCGAGAGCAAAATATTTCTCCAACAGCAACAAGAAAAAGTCTTTTAGAGTTGTTCCATTAGTTCTGTTATACTCTAAGTAGAAGAAAGCAGTTTTCCACTCTTGCTTTCCACACTAATGAAAATGGACTGTGTTTACCCTTAATGACTGTGTTTCTGGGAACCACAGCCACGGTCTGAAACTCAAGGCAGATGCTGAGAAGCCAGAAGAGTAGAAGAGACATTACTGCCCGTGCCATCTGCTCTCATCAGAGACTCTTCCCTACTTAAATTACCGTGAATGATGTAGGATGAGGCTGCTCCTGGGACACCCCACACACCCTGCTAACACCTACAGACACTAATTAAAAACATGGGGAGAGGCACCGAGCTCCCCGTGCGTGCTTTTAGTGTCAGCTCACGCCTTCCTCTCCCTGAGGATTTGAGAACTTCCACAGAAAAGACAATTGCAGCTGAGGCACTCATAAAAATAGGGACTCATGTGTCACTTCAGCTGCCATCCTTAAGCACTACCATATTCCAGAGAAGTGTTTTTTATCACCAATGAGTTAATAAAGAAACACGAAGGGAAATACATAGACATGTTTTGTCAATTAACTGGTGGAAGAAGACACTTCCAGTGGCTCTCATGGCTTTCTGGTAACAGGGTAGGCATAGCTACCTGTTTTCAGTCAAGTGTTTCTATTTACCTCCAAATTATTGAGAAGGTGCAGCTCTGTTTAAACATGAAATATCTGAAATTTAATTTATACCTAATATTATAAAACAAAAGTGAGAAAGGCACTTAGAATCCTAAGACAATGGGATATTGGTTCTTTCCCTTGGGTTTGAATTGTATATTCAAATAGACTCATCTTACGTGAAGGGCATCATTTTCACACCATTTTCCAGAGATGATGGTAAGTATCTTTCAACTTTAACTGAGAATAAAAAGCAATTTTAAATTCATATGTATTTTTTCAACTTAAAGCATCCTCTATGCAGGAAAATAATATAGCACATTCTTTGCAAATGAAAGTTTTCTAATATTATTTTTTAAATAATTTTCACAGTATTCAATTTTGGCTTAACTCTACTGATTTAAAAAAAAAAAAAATCAACATTTTGGAGGGCCTGTATTTGCTATGTAATTTTCAGTTTATAATAACTCACAGACCCAGCCTGATTCCACTAGATCCATGCAGCTTTTACCCTCAAATTTATGGAAACGGTCAGTTTTTGCATTAGCTGGATTTACACCTCACAGACTGAAGTGCCTCAGCAAGTTAAGATTATTAAACTGTGCAGTGCTTTTTGTGTATCTTTGCTCTGATCTGCACTATTCAGCTACATTTCTGCTAAACAAGTCAAAAGGAGCAGAATGCCTGTATTATACATTATATTCCTGCTGAATAGACCTTTAATAAATGGACTAGCTTTCTATTTTAATCAAGCATCATGCACATAGTGCAAAAAATAATGTGTGGAAGAGCTCTGAATGATCCTGCTGTCACCTTCCATAAAGAAAAAAACCAATTTATAACATTACCATCCTGTTTGAAGATGATACAGATTTTCTGATATTCTAGAATGCTGAATAATATCAGTAAGCAGCAGGACAGGGATTGGAGTAGGTCAGCACATTATATTAATAGCAATTAATAATACTAGCAATAAAAGCTGATACACTTTAACTGTGGTCCCTTTCTCCCTACCACACACAGATTTGTGTTGTACCACTGGGGCTTTTGGTTGTGTGATTTATGCAAGAGGAGGTTCACACTCAAGGTACAAACAAATAGAGTTTCCAAAAGCTGAAACAGTCTCTATCAGGCCAAAGCTGCTGAAATCAGAAATCTGGTACTATTTGTATATCCAGGTTCATATTGTATGATTTTCACATTAGAACAAAGGAATGCAGTTCTGGAGCTCAAAAAAAGCTCCTCCAGTGGCTTATGTTGTATAGAAATATTCTATTATTCTTTTATCTAGGCACTTCCACTGTCTTCATCACACTAATTAGAATAACACTAATTATCTTCCTAAGGCTGTCCTGAAAAGGTAATACAAGACACCTGGGCTGGAGTTTGGTTTGTGTGGTTTTGTGGGGGTTTCCTCATTGCCTGTTTTCAGTATGAATTTTGTTTTTAAAAAATTATTTAATTGATTTCACAACACTACCAACAAATCAGATTTTCTGGGTTCCAATACACATTTGAGTGAAACTTGGGGGGGAAAAAAATTGATTAATTTCAATATCCTGCCAGGTCAGCTACAAAACACGTAACATGATGATCTCTAGAAGCAGAAGATGGATATTTCTTTCCATATTATTTATTTATATTTGCTCATGAGTGCATCCTTAATGAATACATCTACCAAGAGCATTCAGAGGGAAGTCAAGGTGAAAGCAAACAGGAAATGAAACCACTCCATCTCTTTCAGTGGAACATCCAGGGAAATAACAGCACACGAGCATTTACAACCGCAGTGTGATGGACAAGACAAATGCTGGGTATCCCCAGGAGCACAGAGACCAGCTGGAAAGAACTGATGCTCACAAAACGTAAGAGAACTTGGCATGAAAAACCAAAATGGTAGGGAGAGACTTCAGGCAATGTCAGACAACGAGTAATAAGAAAACTGGGAAAATCTAGAAGATGCTTCAAACAGAAAGGGTTCTCTTGCTGTGCACATGAGCAGTTCCCAGGGCAGCCACTGTGGTGGTTGTAGAATCAGTATCCACCCCAGAATTCCCAAACTGCCGGAAGCCCTTCCTTCCATCCGCCTTTTATCCTCCTGCAAACACCTCCCTGCACTCTGCTTTTTCACAATGTTGGTCTCATTTGATTGGCATTATCTCTGCCTCCTCCAGCTCATCACTTACCTCATTTATCTGCCAGCCCTGGGGTCCATGGTATGACACACAGCTGACTCTTTGAGCCATGGAATGTAGTTTTGTTTTGCCTTCCCACAATACCTGCCAAAACAGAGCTGAGCAGATTCAGGAAGATGCTATTATTGCAAAAGCTTTTGAGTCCTCGGCAAAACATGAATCACAATCAAATTAAATGCAGAGGGATACTGGACAGGGAGCAGATGTTCTGTTCACATCAAGTGAGGAATCTGTCACAGTCTGGAAGGAAAGCAGAAGCCAGTAAGCTCCTTTATTTGCTCCTTCCATATATATAAAGTCCAAATTTAATTTGGAAATCTTGTTTTGTGTCCTTTGTGGTTCTTATTTGCCAGGAGAAAAATAAAATAAAAAAATTAACATAATTCAAGAATTTTAACGAGAAGTTGCACTTGCTAAATTCAGTTTTTTCCTTTCCAACACAGCTCTTTTATGCCACTCTGTCACCTCAATATTTTCAAAGCCCCCACATTCCTGCTGAATATTTGAGCTACAGAAGTGAATGTCACTTATGTATTTTCACTTGAGCTATTTCTAAATTCTAGCAATCTCTATTAGAGAATCTCTTTGTCTCTTCTAGCAAAGGATGTTCAGTAAGGAGTGAGAGAAGGATAAAAATTAATGGCAGGGCCTGTCTCAGTACAGGAAGCCACAAAGATGCCTCACTGTCTCTCTTTTTAGAGTTTTCATTGCAGAAAATGCCAAGTACTCTTAAACTTGTAAAATAAATTTGTATTATATACAGTTCATATAGGCTACCTATTTGTTTCCTATGAAAAATACTGGTATACAACAAGAGCTAACAGACATAAAATTGCATGTCTGTGCCTAAAACCCGAAGGATTATTGGTCAAATATCAAGGATTATTGGTCAAATATTGGTCAACTCGAGTCTTCCACGCTGGAGCAATGGCATTAAAGAAGAACCAGGGTGAATGTCAAACACCTGCATAACAATCCAGCCATCCATCTCCTGTCAGAGAGAAGCTTTGCTGTGACACTGTCAAGGTGTGGCTGGGAAGAGGTCAAAAAGAGCAGGGTCTGTTTATTTGGTCCGTGGGCCACGTGCATCCTTGTTCTGCTGTAGTAGCCATGCTTGGATGGAGAATCAACATTAATCAGAGATTAATAAAATAAAAATAATGATCTGACATGGGAACATAGAGGAAAGATTGAATGTCTCTGACCTGGATCCATGGGATGTTAGAGTAAATTTCCCACCAAGGAAGACTGCTGTGTGGTTAAAGCTTTTCATCCTTGGGGAACTTCAAGAGCATAGAAATAGAAGCAGTGGCTGTGTCTCCTGAGGATGTTTACAAGCAGCACAAACTCACCCTGAAGTTCAGCACAACTGGCAGCCCCATCTCACAAGAAAACCAAAGTGAAAACAGCAGGAGTACTGTGGGCTGGGCATGATCTGCACCAGCAGAACGGTAGAGAGAATTTTGCAGATCCCTCCCTGTGTCTTGCTGGGTCTGATCAGCATCATAGAGTTTTTCTCCTTAAGGAGGGACAAATTAATTTCCAACAGACACTCTCTTTTTTTTTTATGAACAAAAAAAGTATGATTTCTACTTCATCAAGCTCTTATAGGCTTAGGAAAAGAAGCTTTCAGGTCCTGTTGTGAAGCTCTCAGGTTCTGTTTCAAATCATTTGAGAAGGGTCATCTAGGAATATATATGAACAATAGACAACTTTTAATTTCTCAGTTAATCACTGGCAGGAGACTCTTAGGAGGTATTCTATTTGCCTGTCTCTAACACTTTATTAAAAAGAGACAGTGCTCAAGACACAAAGCAAATAGATAAGGAAAACTATTCTCTAACCTATAATCTTTTACTAAAAAAACAAAGAAAATAGGAAAATTCCTATGGCAGAGTGAGCTTATTGTTCTAATAACAGTGAAAAGATTATGCAGGAGTAATATGAAAATTCACTTTGCTTTGGATTACTTAAGAAATTATAGTTGTTCCATTATGGATTTGCCAAGTCCTCCAAAGCAGGGATTTAGAACTAGGATTGATTTTATGCTGGATAAGACAAAAGGTTTCTATCACAGGAACACAGAAGCTAACACATCAAAGTAAAGAACAGCAGTTAATCTAATTCAGCTTCTTCCCCAGTTCCCCATTTCGGATGCTGATATACCTCTGTAATTACAAGTAACTATTGAACTCAATGGAAAAAAAAATGCACTATGAAATCTGAGCAAGTTTTGAATGGTTCAAAGGGGGATAAGGCTTTGAGCACTACATTCTACCCAGCAATCTTTTTATTTTTTTTTTTTTAATAAAATATCTTCCTGATATTCTGTCCTCATCTTCTTAGAAATCAATTTAGCACCTTCTGAACTCATTACATAATGCAAAATGCACCCATTTTAGAGACCGGTCTGCAGGCATTTAATTCTGGAGCATCTGACTCAAAAACTTGAAGGTGAGTCTCTCCATTTGCACAGGACCAGGACAAAGCAGAAGCTGAAAATCCTGATCCAAGAATTTAAGCAGGATCTGAACTATTGCACAGACTTTTTGTACAGTGGTGAATTTTGTCCATTGGCACCACCTCGTTCCATGCTGAGACAACCCTGAAAAGCTGCAGAAGAGAGCAGTGCCTATCCCAGAAGAGCTGATTTACCCCCTCTCACAGTTGATTCTCAGAGTAAATCAGTGCTAAAAGTGCAAGGTAAACCATCTCAGGTCTAGCAAGCCATGGGGAGTTTGCAGATTGACTGAAATGTTTTCAAACCATTACAGCAGAGGAGGCACGTAAAGTTAAAGCAGAGATGGGATCACAGAGCAAAGCTGCGAGAAGCCAAGGGGAAGATGCCTCCTGCCTGGGACACAGAGTCACCCTCAGCTGTGTCATGGGTGAACCTGCGAGTTCGATGCACCTGGAAGACACCACAGACTGACCTTTGCTTCCAGCCCTTTTTGGGGGAAAGGTGGAGGTGCTGGTGCTCTGCCTGGAAAGTGCAGCACACAGAAATACACAGCAGGATACTGCAGGGTCCTGACGTACTTGGTACACTGATCCAAAAGGTCCTGGACATCACTGCTGTTGCTCCACTCAACCTGTTGCCTACTCCACATCTATTTTATTAGGATGGAAAACCAGAAGTGGTTTTATTTTAGTAGAAAGTAACACAGGACTAACAGCAGATGCAGTAGGAGCAAGGGGATATGACGCAGCAGAGAAGATTTATCGGTTACAAGGATATAACGTGCAGCAAACACAGTAATTTCGAAGTAAGTACTTATATCAGCTACTAAAAATTAAAGATGTGCTGTGTTCACTTGTTTCTTGTCATAGAGAAGTGTCACAGGATATTGCAGAGAATAAAACCAAGAGTGTTCTAAAGGAGACCCCTGAAAGCGATGAGGTGAGGCTGCTCACAGATGCTGATTAAAGCCAACAGAGCAGATGCAATCTCTGGCTCAGGATGTCCTTATACTGCTGACTGGCAGAAGCAAGGGTGAGTATAACAAGGAAAGTACAAGCAATATTTGTGGGTTTGGTTTTTTTATGCCCTTTTCCCATAAGTATCTACTACTGCTGGCATTGTCAGAGCTTCAACCATGCACAAAGGAAGCAAAAAAATGTAATTTTTCACGTTTTATTAGATCCAATTGTGAGTCAATGATTGTAACATAGCAATTTGGTCTGACCTAGTTCAGCCTTTCTTTAGGAGAGCTGGTGAACATTTATATTTGTTAAGATTGGACCTTTTTTAAAGCTGAAAAGTTTTTAGCAGTGTTAGTTCCTTCCAGCTGTTTCAGTAAAGACCATTTATTTTTTGTCTTTTTGTTCCTATATTTTTCCTCTCTTCCTTTCTGGCATGGAACAAAAGAAGAAAATTTTTAATTACAGGGTTTTTTCCCGGTTTTTGGGTTTTTTTCTTTTTCCTCTGACAGTAAAATTTTGAAAAGCTAAACTTTCAAGCTACTGAAGAGTAAAAATAAAAATCTACTTCCTCCAACTGGCGTAATCCCAAATTTTAATATCAATATTTTAATATTAGGTAAATTAAAGTAATAAATAATATCTGAAATTTGTTTTTCATTCATAGCTGTTGGTAGGGCAAAGATACCACAATCACTACTTGTAATGGAGCTTTGCAGCTTCCTGAACCAGAATATATTTCTCTCATCATGTTTAAATTCCCATCTAGACCATTAGCCCATAAAAGCGGATAATGCTGTGTAAGCACTGTACCAAAGACAGCCTCAGTCCCAGAGACTTTACAAGCAGAATTAAGTACAATTAAACACATTTATAAGCAGTAACATCCATGCTAAAGTCTCAGCAATAGGAGTTTCTGCCAGAAAAAGGGAAAGGAAGAGTTCACAACCCAAACTGCATCAGCACAGGTAGATATCAGTGTGTCACAGATGTACAGCTCAGTTGACACTGGTGTTCTCAAAAGTTTCCTTCAGAAAGAATAAAGAGTTCCCCAAACATTTTTCCTCTCTGTGAAAGTTACTCCAGAAAATGGGGAAAAAGCTTCTCTACCATCTCTTCTTCAAAGCTAAGGAATGCTAAACAGATTGCACTCGTTCTTGTCCCTGTAAGACTCACAATATTAAAACATACCTTTTTACAGAATGCACATGAACAACTGTTTTAATCCTCAGCATTAGCAACCTCCCAACTCTTGTAGGAGTTACCTTCTACCTTGTGGTTATGCAAGTTCCACCTCCTAATAATTTCATTTTACATTTAAATCAAAATCATTTTATTTCTTCAATAAAGAAAGAATAAACGTCAAAGAATAAAATGTCATCCTTTCCAAATGCAAAGGAAACCCTGACATTCATCAGCCACAGAAAGCCTGGTTTTAGGACTAAAGGTTTTATAAAACTAAGGGCAGCTTTGTGTACAGTTTGTGTGGGTGGATTTTTGTGATGTGTTCAAGCAGAGTAGAAGAAAATCTAGTGCCTTGGCAGGGTATGGATATAATAAATGTTGTTTGCCACTTACAAGGCTGGGTTGGACAAGTTTAGTAGAGGTTCAAAGCCTCTGGTTTCAGGAGGTTTCTTTCAGGATGAATTTTGCTCCAGTGGAATCCAAAACACTGCTCAGCAGCACTAAAGAATGAGTGTTCTGGTCACTTCATTAACGGGGAAAACCACTGGCTTTCAAATAATGCAAGAGAATTGGTTTCTACTGATTTATAGCTCACTGGAGTACTTTTAATTGGACTTTGCTGTTTTTCTGCACCGATGGCTAGTCCTTTCTTAACTGTTTGTTTTTTCCTAAGAAGTGGAGCCCTGAGAAAAATTACTTTAATGATAATGTAGGCAGAAAAATTCTCCTTGGCAGAATTCAAACACTGTTAATTATAGCCCCTTCCAGAAATATTTTGCCAGATGCGCGGAAAATAATGCCCATGGATACTTTATATCTGGAATTTAGCAGTGAGATTTTTTTTTTACACAGAAATATTACATTTAGAATTCCTGCCATGAGTTTTTTTCGGGTAATTTTCCATTTTTAAACCTGTGGATTAATCCTTTGTATGAGTGTAGGAATCAGGCACATCTGTGTTCCCTGATGAGGTCATTTTCCCATGGCAGTGTCACACTCACCAGACAGGATCACCCCCTCTTCTTTATCCAGGTTTCACCACCTTCCTCACTAGAACAGAATGTGAATTTAAACAAAGTCATTTGCACCAAAGGAAACAATTATTTGCATTTTTCCCTGTCCATACTGAAGGAAGATGCTGTGTCTGGGCATTCCTGGGAATGGGGAGTGAGGCAGCACCTTGGCACAAGCCAGATGAG